CCCCTGCCAGTGCCCAGCGTCTGTGCTGTGTTTATAATGGGGATGTGTTCATATGCGGGGGGGAGGATTAGGGGGCGTATTTATTTCCTGATCCCTGTGCTGGGTGGCTGTGCCTTGTTATCACCTTTTTTCTTGTGGTTGCACAAGAGACCTGGCCTCTGAAAGGCTCCCAACTGCAATGTTTGCATTGATGGGGAAAGATGGCCTCCTGGTTAAAGCCCTGGGCTGAGGCTCAGGAGGGCTGGCTGTTGGTCCCAGTTTTTTCACGGGCTCCCTGGATGATCTTAGGCAAGTGGCTGATGCCTTTTGAGCCTCGGTTTTCCCATGTTAGAATGTGGATAATTACACTCCTCATCTCAGAGGATTATGGGGATAAATGTGTTGGTAATGAGCTTGGAGTGACAAGGCTGCGGAAATGCTTAGGAATCCTGCAGTGGTGAGTTACGCAGGTTAGCAGCATGATGTGTGAAAATGGGAGGGTTCTGTGGATTTATAAGCCAGGAGGCTACCAGTCTGTGGTCCCTGCTAAGCTCATTATATCCCCTGGCCAGAGCTAGGAAAAGGTTACCCATCGCCCGCCAGCCCTTCTTCCAGGCACAGCTTTATAGCACAGGATCTATCCTGACTCCCAGCATGTAAAGCAGGAAGGCAGTGGGGATACGATGCTGCAAGTCAGGGAATGAGCAAAAGCAGAATGAATGGGGGTGAGGTTCTGCCATCTATCCCAGCCCAGCACATGTGCTGAGACCCGGAGAAGGGAGACAGCCCCCCCCCCCTCCCCTGGCTGTTCCAGCCCCCAGGAGACAGCAGGGTTGGTTTGCAAGCTACAGCCTAATGTTAATGAATGGTTTGCAGCTTTGGCAGCTGTGAGCAGCTCCTGAATCCAAACCAGTGTCTGGAAGAGATTTTGTTCCCCACAATGGAAAAATCTCTGGCAAATGGGAGCACTACAGAAGAAAACTCCAGAGACAGCAGAGATCCTGCTTGCTTGGGGTAAAGGGCCAGTGTATCGGGGGGAGGGGAAGACATGCAAGCAGGAAGGACTGAATTGGATGCTCCAGCACAGGAGTTAGCAGAGCAAAGGGGCATCCTGCCTGGTATCCTGTCTGCAAAGCCGGATGCTTCCAAGCCAGGCATCAGACCTTCTGCTGTAGTGATAGGGGGAGGAAATTCCTGCCTGACCTCAGCTGAGCTGGTGCCCTGAAGCGTGAGGGCTGATAGCCTCATGATCCTTTTCCCAGCTAGTGCAGATGTCTCCTCTGCAAATTCATTTCTGGCGTAACACGATTGACTTCATTGGCATTACACCAGGGATGATTTGGCCCTAACCCCTCCTGGCTTCCTTTTAACCATGATCACAGCTGGGCTGGCCTGACCTTTGCCAGAACCTCCTCTTACACCTTGGGATCCTCTGCCCTTTCCCCTCAGGCTGCCACCCTGTTCCTAAATAAAGTCTCTGGTTTGTGAGTCAGCCGCTCAAATATGGATAACGAGGGCAAACAAAGAGCAGCCCTGTGATGAGTGTGGGATAAGGGCACTGGTGTGTCTACCCCTTCCCCACCCCATGGTGACTGCTCTCTGCTGGGGGTGAGCTGCTGCTATAGCCCCGTGGTTTTGGGCACCTGGCACAAAGGGAGTTGGGGAGAGTAGAGGCCAAGGTCCAGAGGGAATGGGGGCCTGCATTGAGAGGCCATGCTTGGACAGAGTTGCCCTGCCTCGGCTGTGCACTGAGCTGCAGGGCCACCTGGATTTTGTGTTGCCCCATTGTGGCCACCATCAGCCTCCCTCCCGTCCCCAGCTGAACCAGAGCAGGGAGCTGAGTGCTCATCTGGGCAAGGGATGAGCCAAACCAAGGGGCTGGGCTTTTTTACTCCCTTGTGGTACTTGTGGGAGGCGTCCAAGGTTTGTTTAAAAACAAAAGTTGCTGCCTCTGTGCAGCCTGGGGCTGTTAGGCCTTTGATGCCTTGTTTCGGTGGGTGGGTTCCTTGGCCACATAGGGGCATGGCTGCTGGATTTTAACACAGAAGGGTTTTCTCCGTGCTGTGTGGGAGGTGTAGACATGAGAGAAGCCAGCCCACGGCCACTCGCTCACACCCATGTGAGCCCAGAGTGTGTGAGCAGAGGGCTCTGATCTGGGGGAGGGGAGGTTTCTACCATTGCAGAGGGGCCCAGAGCGTTCACCAGGCCAAATGTCTGTTGGCGGGAGGAAGTGCCTGTTGCTAGGCTGTGTGTTCTCCCTCCTTTGGTCTAACAATGTCGTTTGCTTTTCCTTTCAGTCGTGCTGCTGGATTTTGCCAAGGCCCAGGGCGAGCTCGGTTGGCTGAATGAGCCCTATGGGAAGGGGGTAAGTCTGAACCTCTAGTGCCAGCAGGAAGCTCTCAGGGGCCCTGGCATAACTCCACAGACCCACTGCCAAATCACCCTGAGCTAGGCGAGAGGAGAGCTGCCTGGGCATCTAGAGAGAACCTGAGAATGAGGCGGTGCTGGTGCCCTGTGGTGACCCACCACTGGAAGTAGCAGCCATGGGGGGCTTAGGGAATTTTTTGCCTTTCCTTCTTGGATCCTGCTCACTCTCAATTCAGTTTAAATCCAGAAGAACTGCTTGAGTGCAAATGACAGCCGCACGTGGCCAGTCCTAGGGGGAGTTTTTCAAACTCAGCTCTCACATCCAAAGGGAACGCCCACCTCTGCCTTTGGAATTACAGTTGGGGTCAGCGGACTGGGCTCAGGGGCGGCCAGCACGTGGCTCACCAGAGTTAGCCTCAGAGGGCCACTGTTCCCAGCCAGTGGCAGCTGCAGGAAGTGGTGTCCTGGTCTGCGCCACTTCCTGCAGCTCCCATTGGCTGAGCACGGCGAGCCGCAGCTTTTAGGAGCTGTGCGCAGCCATGCCTGCAGATGCACAAGTCAATTGTGTCGGGCGGCCCACTGGGACTACCCCGGTGAACCACATCCGGCCCCCTGGCTACTCATTGCTCGGCCCTGACTCTACAGGGAACATCTGCTTTAAACACAAGTCGGGCCTGGGGCCAAAGCACAGGGTGGGGTTGGGGGACTCTGTCCCTTCATAAGCAGATCTGGTTTACTGCCCATAAGTGGGAGTAGGGATGTAAGAGCCTGTTTAATTAATTAACTGGTTAAATGTTAAGTTGAACAGTCAGCTGATTAAAAAGAGGGCAGGTGGGGGCCTACTCCCGGTGGCCACCCCATGGCAGGAAGAGCCTCTGTCACTTCCGAGGCTGCTTCCCTGCAGGGCTGCTGCTCTGCTCTCTGGATACTGGTTAACCATTACTCAGTAAGCATCACCCGTTAAGATGCTGAGAAGCCCTGGGGCTTTGGGTGGTAGCTTTCAGGGATCACCGCAGTCGCTGCTTTTCAGTGATTGGTTTTTAAAGTTGATCAGGTCAGTTCAAACTCCAGCCCTTCAGTGGGTGATTTCAAAGCACTTTTCAGTCTGGATTAATCAGACACAGACACAGACACAGACACAGACACAGACACAGACACACTCTATTCCCTGGTGAGATAGGTCACTGTCACTGTACCCGTGTAGAGATGGGGAAACTGAGGCACAGATGGGGAAGAGATGTGCTCACATACTGACAGTGGCAGAGTCAGGTATTGAATCCAGGTGCCCTGGCTCCCAGTCCTCCCTGGCTCTCACCAGCCCTGAGTTTCCTGGCTCCCATCCTCTCCTCCCGGCTCTAACTAGCCCTGGGTCCCCTGGCTCCTGGTCCCTGCTGTTCTGACTATTACACTTTCCCCTTGAACACTCTGGCTGGAGACTGTGAGTGTTGGGCTGTGTTGATGCATTTGGAGAAAACTGGCTCACTTCTACTTACTGGGCAGGTCTAGGTCTGCATCCCTCTTTCCCCAAGTTTCAGGACCTGCCTTCTCTGTGTCCAGTGTCCTGGCTCAGGCCCTGAACTGCCCGGCAGGGGGTAGCCATGTTCTCCTGGGGAAGGACTCCGTCAGGAGGGTGGGACAAGGATGGGAAGGACCCTGGCCCTGGCAGGGGTGGAGCTGTGCCAGGGCCTCGGGAAAGAAGCAGGCCCTGCTTGCTGATAGCTGCCCAGCAGGGCGGGGCAGGGAAGAGCATAGGGCAGTTCTCCCACCGCGGAGCTGCAGATCACGCTCTGAAAGGAAGATGGGGGCTGTGCGGTGGGGTCTCTGGATGGGATGCAGGCTCGAGATCAGGCAGTGGCCCATTGCTGCGAGGGGCTGCTGGGTAGAGGTGCTTTGGCACACTGGGGGTGCAGGCACCTGCCAGCATAGCAGGGTGGCCCATTGGGGATCCTGGCCCACCACTTACCAGAACTGAGCCCTAGGGCAACTGCAGCTCTCCGCTCATTCAGTCAAACAGCTCGGCATCCGTCCCCTGCTGCAGCCAGACAAACCATCCCGGCCACCTGGCTCCTGCTGTGACTCCCCTGAGCGTGGGATGAATCTGGCCTGCACACTTACCCCCTCCTGCCTTCTTGGGAGAGTCTGTTGTCTGGCCCCGCCAGATCCCTGAGAAACATTCCAGCCCTGGCTCCCGAGGCACAGCCACATGCAGTGGGAAGGAGGGCAAAGAGGCGGGGGGGGGGCATCTCCTGGGTGGGATCAGGTGTCCCTTGTTTGCAGCTGTGCAAAGACCCCCCCAGACTGGCTGTTCTTCCTCTTCCTCCCCTGGCCCCTTGTTTTGGTCTCTCCTGGTAGGTTTCCTATCTCCTGCCCTCCTGTGGGCCATGCAGGAGGTTAATTGGACGGGTGTTCTGCTCTCCGCCCACAGGACTGTCCTGACAAGTTAATCCGCTGGGTTTGTTAAACTTCGGCTACTTCCAAGGGCCAGGCTGAACCCAGATGGCTCAAACCCCAGGCCTCCTGTCTCACCCAGAAAGCCACCACCCAGGCCATGCTGACAGCCCGATCCAGCTCCCAGGGATCCCATTGATGGCCGGCCAGGCCTGAGGCTGGATTCTGAGGCTCAGGTCCCCTTGCCTGGCTGGGCTCCCCAGAAGTAGCATGAGATTTAATTTCGTTTCCAGTGTGTGGCACAATTGGGGAGCAGTGAGAACAGAGCAGCTGGGCGAGAGCGCTGGCATGAGCAGGGAGTTTGCCCTGTGCAGGCTTGTGTTGGGCACCCACGATCTGAGGCCTGACCCACCTTGGGCCTGTTTCTCCGTCTGTAGAACTGAGTTTGGCCTTGTGACCTTCCTTCTGCAGAGGGTGGACGAGTCAGCGTCCCTCCAGGGCAATGGCAACATGTCCGCAGGGGGCCAAGCCTGCAGGCAACGGAAGGGGGCCGGGGGCGAGCATACAGAGACTAGGGGCAATTGCAAGGCAGTGTTGAGATGAAGCCACCAGTCGCTGCTTTTAGTTAGACGCTTGGCATGGGGCAGAGCCAAGGTAGCTGCGGCATAAGCCAGTCCTAGCCCCCAGCTTCAGGGTGTGCGCCAGCCTCCAGCTGAGGGGGTCGGGAAGAAACTTATCCAGGGGCCCTGCAGGGTTTCTTGTTCCTTCTCTGATCATTTAAGCCCCAGCCCCAACAGCCCCCTTTGCCTTCCTTTAACGCCTGCTCTCCCCGGCAGTGGGATCTTCTCCAGAACGTCATGAACGAATCCCTCATCTACATGTACTCGGTCTGCAACGTGATGGAAAGCGACCAGGACAACTGGCTGCGAACGAACTGGATCTACCGCAGCGAAGCCCAGCGCATCTTCATCGAGTTGAAGTTCACCGTGCGTGACTGCAACAGCTTCCCAGGAGGGGCCAGCTCCTGCAAGGAGACCTTTAACTTGTACTACGCCGAGTCAGACGTGGACTACGGCACCAACTTCCAGAAGCGCCAGTTCAGGAAGATTGACACCATTGCGCCCGACGAGATCACCGTGCGCGATGACTTCGCCACCCGCAACGTCAAGCTCAACGTGGAGGTGCGGTCGGTGGGGCCACTGACCCGCAAGGGTTTCTACCTGGCCTTCCAGGACATTGGGGCCTGCGTGGCCCTGCTCTCCGTCCGCATCTACTACAAGAAGTGCCCCAGCGTACTGCAGCATATGGCACTCTTCCCCGAGACCATCGCCGGGGCTGACTCGCAGGCGCTGGCCAAGGTCCAGGGCACCTGTGTGGAGGATGCGGTGGCCAGCGAGGAGCCCAGCATGCACTGCAACTCGGATGGGGAGTGGCTGGTGCCCATCGGACAGTGCCTGTGCCGGGCGGGCTACGAGAAGGCGGAGGAGATCTGCAAAGGTAAAGGCATGTGGCTGGGGTGTGCACGGGGGGTGGCAAGCTCTCATGTGGATGGGGCTGCTGGTGCCAGGGCAGCAACTGCCCAGAACTCACATTCAATACCAGTGTTACTGTCTGGATCGCTCAGTGCCACATGTACACCTGGCAGGCCTGACCTCCAGTACCCTCCGCTCTGGCTCCAAGCTGCCCCATTCACAGCAATGCTAGCAGCCCTCTGTCCTCTTTTGTTCCCACACCCAGTCTCCCCCACCCAGCGCTGCCAGAGCCCCAGAATCCCTCCTATACTCCCGCACCCAGCTCTGCCGGAGCCCCTCAGGCCAGCCCTGCAGCCCCCTCCATCCACTATTTCCCCCTGGGCTCCCCACCCAGCTCAGCAGATGCCCCTCAGCCCCCTTGCTCTCCTAGCCCTGGGCAAGGGCATCTATTTCCAGTTGTTCACTTCCCTGCTCTGGGAGGGCAGCAGGGCCAGAGAGCAGAGATCTGAGCTTCCTTGCTAACCCTTCCCAAACAATAGGCATCAGTGTTGGGAGCAGGGGGGAGGAGCTGGGGGTCTGGCAATGGAGCAGATGCCTGTGCCGGCCTGGTAGCTCCCTTGTGACATGAGTGGTGAGGAATGTGCTGGGAGCGGGGGCGTCGGGAGCCTCCTTGGGACAGGGGAGATAAACCCCAGCAATGCAGAAAGTGCAGCTGGGGGAGGGGCGGCTCCGAGCTTGCCAGGGTGGAATCAACACCCCTCCACACACACACACACACACACACACACACACACACACACACCTGCTGTCGACCTTCGGCTGATCGGGGGGGCCCGGGGTCAAGGAGCGGGAAGGATTTGATTTATGGGGATTAGCTCTTTTACAAAGCAGCCTGGAGTCTTGGAAGTGGGGGAGGAAGGTGGACCTGTTCTGGCTTTTCAGCCCCCTGCCCCTGCAGGAGTCCCCGTGGTGCCTGGTGCTGGGGCTGTTCTTCCAAATGCCCCCAAGGTAGCACGGCCCCTAACCCAGAGACACCCCCAGTGCAGTGCTGGCTTGCAGACCCCGGGTGTCTATTCCCACCCCCAGACAAGCCCAGCATGGACAGCAGCTTGGCATACCCGGGCCAGGTGCCCCCAGAGAGACCCCTCTAGGAGGGATACTGGCCCCATCAGTCCTTGGCTGCCCAGCTGCAGTCAGCTCCTTGCCTTGGGCCTGAGAAATACCGTGGGCCAAGTGCGGGGGGGCACAGAGCCCTGCTCCGCCCTGGTGTCTGAGCTGCGCCTGGGCTCTGCATCTGCCCCTCCCCGGATCAGGGCCTTGTCAGCCCCACCAGAGGGGGGAATAAGGTGCCATGTGTGAGCCCCTTGTGGGGAGCTCTGGGCTAAGGGTCAGGGTGAGGCATGCTCCTGGATCCTGTTGCATGCGTCTCTGGTAGCTAGCGGGGAGGCTATGAATTGCCCAGCCTTGTGCCCCCAGGGCTGGGCCGGCCTGTGGGACACAGATCTGCCCTTCTGAGGGCAGGGAAGCAGCAATACATCAGGACGTGCTTTCCCCTGGGCACCTGGCTCGGACTCCAGGGTCACCAGCTCCAGTCTTAGGTGCTGTGTCCCTGGCTGCTAGGAAAGGGTGGGCTGGGACCAAGGCTGTGGGAGGCTGGGATGGCGTCCCCCTGGGGGGTCCGCTCTCAGCCGTCTGCCCCAAGTTGGGAACAGGAGGTTGTGTGTCTGCTTCATACACCGGCAAAGCCTGGGGCTAGAATATCAGCAGGGTGCTCAGCGTCCTTGAGGGGCGCTGGCCAGCTGTGTGGGGAGCACAGGGCTGGGATAGCCAGAGGCTGTGGGTCAGGATTGAGGGGCACTGGCAGGGCTGCCCACACGACATGGCAGAGCAGTCCCACCCCTGGCAGTGCCATACGTGGTTCTGTCCGTTTGGACTGGTCTGGTGACAGCCCTGTAGCACAGGCTGGTCGGCCACCCCTGGCTTGTGGGGACTCTGCTCTGGGAGAAGGCAAGGAGGGTCAGTCCCTGCGCTGCCACCTGGCAGGTCATGAGACCCCCAAGTTCAAGGGAGTTTTGTGCCAACTCAGACCCTGCCCTGGTGCCAAGTGCCATCCCTGGCTGTTGTTTGTGGGAGTGGAGGGTTCTGGATCCCAGCGTTGGCTCTGGTGCCCCATAGTCGGCCTTGGACCTGTGAGTCTGGCGCGGGGGAAAGCAGAGGGGCCGTCGCAGCCCATGCACAGAACACGCCCTGACTGGGGGCACCCTCCCTGCACAACTCAGCCTTCCCCAGGGGCGGAGAGGACGGAAATGACACAAACCAGAGATAAAGGGCAGGGAGGGGCCCCCTCTATTTTATTGGGGTCAGGAATGTGGCAGGAGATAATCCAGGGGCCGTTCAGTGCTGAGTCCAGCCCTCGCCCACGTGCACCTCAGGGAGAGCAGATCAGGAGCCTTCAGTGCACGGAAGCTGCGGGCGCTCTGTGTAACTGGTCCCTTCCCCTGATGCCAGCAGCTTTTGTGCCTTCCTATCAGCCCGTCTGGGTAAACCCCAGAGCTCCCAGGCTATGGCTATGGACGGAAACACTCAGTACGGAAGTTAAACCATGTAATTTTACTCCCTAACAGTGGAGAGCTGGTGGGCTCTGGTGGCAAGGGATTGGGGGACTGCTCCAGCCATTGAAGGAGTCAGGTCCATTCGCTCTGGGAGTTTGGGCTTTTGGCAAGCCCTGGGTTGTTGCCCTGCCTGTCTGTCCCAAAAGGAAAGATCTGCAGGACAAAAATCCACCCTGCATAACTCCCAGCCCAGAGATCTGTTTGTCCTGGTGTCGTTTTTATGCAGTGCTCATCCCTGTGGCATCTTGGCGCCTGTGTTTCCACAGCCTCCGTTTTGTTTCCTCGCTCCCCAGTGTGCAGGTGGCAAGAAAAAGTGCGGCCCCCTGCCCCTGGGAGAGGAACAGGAGCTGCTGTGCTCCAGAGCCTGGCCTAGGTGGGGCTTGTGTAGGGGTTAGGTTTGGATTCTGTAGCTGCAGGGGGAACACGCTCCCGTCTGGCCTCTGTTCTGCCCTTGGGACCAGACTGGCGAGCTGTGGGGGAGCAGCTCTCTGGCTTGCCATCAAACAGCGGACAAAGGGGCTGGAGTCTCACTTGATTGGGGGGGGTGACCCTGTTCTGTCTGCAGCAGGGTTATTGGTACTGATTCCCCCCAGTCCACAGAGGGCTTTCCCCCAGGCCAGGTTTAACCATGGTGTGGGCCCAGTGGGTCACCATAGTGACAGGCAGCCTAGCTGCCCTCTGGTCCCCTCGGTGTCCAGCTGGGCATGAGGGAGCAAGCAGCAGCCACCATGTGGGCTCCCTGGGACAGAGTGGGCCAGAACCCCAGGGCACCTTCCTCAGCCAAGAACCAAACCGCCCCAGGCTGACATGGGACAGGTGCTGCTCCCCTCTGCCCTTCCTTTGCCTCCTCATTACTTCTTCATCAGCTGCGGGAGAGTTTGCATGGTTCCCCTTTCCCTTCCCAGCTCCCCAAGAGACACTTTAGGGCAGGGCCCTGTGGCTACACCCCTTGGCCCCAGTGCCAGCCACATAGCAGAGAGTGCCGGGGCACCAAAGCGCATGCATGGAGTGCTGCACTCGCATTCCTTGGGCATCTGCCATGCCAGCTGGCCTTGCCAGTGCCAGCCGCTCGAGTCCCTGGGCCTGTGGCATTGACAGATATCTCCCCTCCCCCCAGCAGTGTAGTTCCCCCTCCTCCATGGTCTTGTGTGTCATCCACACTCCATCTGTCTTCCTCGCGGCCGTACCCATGTTTTCCTGCCACCCCCCATCGTCCTAGGAAAACAAGACTTGCTAAGAGTTTGCATCCTCCTCCCCTCACCCTGGGAGAGGGTGTCTGTGCAGACACTCGTGCTCTCTGGCTGAATGGAGCAGTGTGTGCGCGCACGCGCAGGGGGCAGGGACCTTGCCCTCTGATGGGCTCATACATCCCTTCAGACTGTGATCCCCTCGGATTCTGACACCTCCCTATGTTCCAAACAGGCCTTGCTCTTCCCGCTGCCTCTGGTGGTGGCCCTGCAGGGGCGTCCTTGGCCTTTTGGTGGTCTCTTGCCCTCCGCCCCGGGGGCTGAGCGAGTCCTGACCAGGAGGCCCACATGCAGCTCACAGAAATCCAGAGCCCAGCTGCCCTGTATCTTGTGGCCAGTGAAGCAGTCCACAGAGACTACAAGCCTCAGCTTGCAGAGCAGGAACCTGCCCTGGCACTGTGGGTATCACAGTGGAGTACTGCGTCTTTGAAGCAGGGGTTGCCATGGGCTGCCCCTTTGTCTGGGGCCAGGTGGAGCATTGCATGCTGGGACCTGGAGTCATTATGGGCCGTGCCTCCATAGGAACGATGGCAGCAGAGAATGGCTAGTGCTTTGCCTAGGAGCCCAGGAGATCTTCAGATGAGCAGAGTTTGGGTGACCATAAAGGCATGTTCCACTCTTTTCCTGCCCTGCCAGCCAGCTTATGGCAGCTACCCTGGGCCTGGAGAAAGGACACAATGTTGGGGGGATCCCCTAAGGATGAGTAGGACTCAGCTGCTGTAGGACCATGGATCCCAAGGAGCCTTAGTTCCAGGAGGCCTTCGTGGAAGCTGGACCTGATATGAGGGGTTGTTCCTGTGATGAGTCTGAGGTCCTCAGGGATGCCCATCACTGTCTGTTGGGTTCCGCCCCACGATTGCCTGTGGAGTGTCTTTGGGGCAGCAGGGAGGGAGGGGCCAGCCAGGCGGAGTCACGGGGAGTGCCCCACATTCCAGTTAGGGTTACCAGATGATTTAAAAAAAAACTGGAGATACTTGATCTCAGATGGGGATGGGGACCGGCCAGGAGGGGAGTGGGGCTGGCCGGGAGGAGATCCGGAGGGGTGGGGAGAGAACGGCCATCAGGAAGCAGGGCTGGCCAGGAGAGGTTTGGGGGGGAGCAGGGCTGGCGGGGAAGGGGTAAACCAGCCGGTGGGAAGTGGGGCTGGCCTGGGCGCATGCAGATCTCGGGGTGCTGCCCGTCCCGCGCACGGTTCCAGTGGGGCGCACGGGCGACTCCGGCCTTGGGGAGTCCATCCTGTCCCGGCCCCATCCCCACCCCCCTCCTCTTTACTGCATAGTTGCGTACTGCTTGGCTGGTAGACACGCTCACGCTGCACAAGCATGTCTACCAGCCAGGCAATACACAACTATGTACTGATACTTACGATAATAATAAAACTTACTTGTATAGAAAATACCGGACATTTCTATATCTCGTATTTTCTCAGTTTGTTTCCTGGACAGAAAGCTCAAATACCAGACTGTCTGGTTCAAACCCGGACACCTGGCAACCCTAATTCCAGTGGTGGCTACCACCCAACTGGCTTCCTCGGCGTCTGGGCGGGCCAGCAAGCACCTTGCTCCCGTGGTCACTTGCCCTGTGCTGTGACCTGTCCCTGGAGGGATGGTCTTGCCTCCTGCCCAGGATGGGGGTGGGGATGGAGAATGGAATGTGCCCTTTGTGCAGAGAGATTCTCTGACCTCCTGGAGCAATGGCAGAGCCTGCTGGCCTGTGTGAAAGGGAGCCTCGCTGGCAGGAAACAAAGGAGTTTATCTCCAGGAATAAACAAAATATTCTTACCCTCCCAGCTCTCCTCCTGCTGCCAGAACTCCCCTCCTCCCCCCCCCCCTCCTTCATGAAGGCTTCACCGCCTCCTTCCGCCCAGGGGAACACTACAGAGCAGTCTGTACCCTGTGCAACGTGCCTGGGCATCTGATCTATCTCTATCTCCATACACCCCATCCATCTATCTATTCAATCTCCTCCATCAGCAGTATTTAATAATTGAAACTAATTCCTGTGAGTTACATTGCTGTACAGAGACCCAGGATTCCTGCTCCCTCCCCTCCAGGGGAAGGAAGCCAGTCTCTGGGCACCAGTGAAATCCTGACAGGTTTACTGCCCTAGGCAGCCAAAGCCACCAAGCTGGGCAAGTGAAGACCACACACAAAATATTGAACTGGGCAGGGGCAGTTTCTCTTTGGAGAAGTGTGTGTTTTTGTAATAGACCAGGCAAAGAGGCAGGAGGGAAGGGGAAACTTTCTTAACACAGGGCTGGGGGCAAGCGGTTCTTAACCTAGCTGCTGCAGAGGAAGGGACTTGTGAACATCTAAAATACCCCTTCCCTATGACCACCCATCGCTGTGGCCATTGTACAGCTGGGCCGGCCTGCAGACCCCTGCAGATGGGCACTGGGGCCAGAGCTATCTGAGCGTTTGGTCAAGATCTTTGTGTTTTGTTAAAGAAACACTACAATGGAGGGGGAATCCGTGCCCCGTGGCAGTGCTCCGGCAGACGGAGGAAAGGGCCTTCCTGAAAACTCAAGCTACATGGCTTCCACAACCGCTTCCTCTTCAGAACACTGGAGGAAGCAACTCCCACAGCCTAGGGTGGGTGAGGAGGCGGAAATTGGGTTCCTGTGGAAAACCCAGATCGGATGGGGAATGAGGCAGGCTCCTCCTCCCCCGCTCCTCTCTTTGTTTAGAGAAACCAAAGAAAAGAAACTAGCTGGGACCTTCCTGCCTTAGACCATTGCTGTCTCCTGGGGCCCGTCACCTTGTCCTGTGGTGTTTTAACTGTATCCGTCTGAATGGACTGATTACGGTGGTACGGCCCCACTGTGTGCGTGGGCATATTGGTAGAAAGGTGCCGTAGGCTGGAGTAGCTGGAAGGAAGGGAAAAGTTACAGTGGAGTAAGTCACGTGAGGATTGTCCTGGTAGGCAGGCCGCTCCCTGCTTTCATTCACTCCCCCACAACCTGAAACACACACTCACCACCAAGCACACTCTCCACAACAGACACACGAACCTTGGAACCACCCCCTTGCCAGCTCTCTCCACACACCTAAGCAGACCATCAAAGGCTTGTTCAGCTGCACGTCTGCTAATGTGATCTGTGCCTCTGCCACTGAGAGATGGGACCACAGGCTTGTTCTCTGCAGCACGGTTCTGATTGGTTGGCACGTTCAGGGTCCCAAGCTGGGATCAGGGCCCTGTCCCGCTAGGTGCTGTACAAACTTGGAGAAGAGACTGCCCTGCCCCAAAGAGCAGGCCACCTAGGCGCTGTCTATTCCCATGCAGAGAAGAGTGGGAGACCTCCTGTCAGGTGGCTCCACTGGCCAATCCCCTCCGCACATTCAGGCTGTTCTGTGTACCACCTTGCCTAAGCTGGCCCATGCTCTCCCCTCACAGCCTGCCCTGCTGGGTTCTTCAAGCCAGACGTCTCCGGTGATACCTGTGCCAAGTGTCCCTCCCACACGCTCTCCTCTCCTGAAGGCTCCACGTCGTGCCAATGTGAGGAAGGCTATTTCCGGGCCCCAGAGGATCCAGTGTCTTTTCCCTGCACCCGTAAGTATGAGACCCTACTGTGGTGACCAACCTCTGCTGTTATCACCTGTGTTTCCAGTGTCCCCGGGGCAGGTCAGGGCCCTTGCTCCATCTTCCTGACCTGTAATAAACTCTCTGCTAATCTAGAATTGTACTGAGCCCCAAGGATTGATGAGCGCCTTGTGAGCATTCATGCTTTCGGTGCAGGAGGGAAGTAAGTGCCTTTCCCCCTCCCCAGTTCATAAGTGGGGAAACTGAGGCATCGAGCAGTTGAGGGGCTTGCCCGTTCTCATCCAGTGAGCCAGTGGCAGAGCTGGAATTGAACCCAGGAGCCCTGCCTCCCAGGCCCCAGGTCTCAGAGCTACACAGCCCCTCAGCTCTCTCCATAACTCCCCCTTCTCCTTCTGAGACCCCAGATCGGCAGGCTGAGTCTGAGGCAGCCCAGTCTAGACTCTTGCCACCTCCTGCATGCTGGGATGAACTCCGTCTCCTCACCCACCTTGGGAACACCCCCATGACCGGCAGTCCCGCCCCTCATCCCTAGGGAAAGGTCTGCACCTTTGAGGGTGGCACTTCCCATCGTGAGGTTGTTCAAGTAGTGAATCTATTGGCTGGGCCAGCAGTGAGGAGTGGATGGGGATGGGCCATGTCACTTGAGTCTCACTCCTCCAGGTCCAGAAGCTCCCAGCTCATCTTGCTCTGCCCCCAGAAGGAAAGAAATGCCCTTAACACCTTGACCTTTCTCCTCCCCCATCCAGGTCCCCCTTCTGCCCCCCACAACGTCAAGGCCATTGGCTTGGGAGCCAAGGTGCAGCTGCGCTGGTCACCGCCCCATGACACGGGTGGTCGTAAGGACATCACCTACAGCATCACATGTGAGCAGTGCTGGCCGGAGTCAGGGGAGTGTCGGCCCTGTGACAGTAGCATCCGCTATTCAGACCAGCCCCAGGGGCTGACCAGGACGTCTCTGACCATCAGTGAACTGGAGCCACACGTTAACTACACCTTCACCGTAGAGGCTAGGAACGGCGTGTCGTCTTTCAGCCCCAGCCACAGCTATGGCACTGTGAGCATCAGTGTCAACCAGACAGGTGAAGCATGAACATATACAGAGCGGATGGGATTGTGTCTGTGTCCCTGCGGGGCCCTCCGGGGGCCTGGTTTCTATCCAGATGAGGGATGTGCACCAGTTCATATGGGAAAGCTGTTAATCTCCTGACTGGGTTTGGTGGGCAGGCAACAGAGAAAGGTTAGTTAGGGCAGGACACGAGGGGGCGGAGCAGCTGAAGTCACCTGTGACCTACAGAGGAGACCAGCCATGGATGAGCAAGGTAAAGTGGAAGATCTCATGTGTAGTTAGATGGGTGGACTGGCCACACCTGCATATTGGCAGGGCTGCCAGAGCCCTGGGGGCCACTGGGCTGGCATTCCTCCACCCCATGAATGAGGTGAGGGCTTCACACCTCCCAGCTCCCACTTGACTGTCGCCTTCTCCATTGACCAGAGCCTCCCCGGGTGACATCAGTGAATTTGGACAGCCAGACTGAAACCAGCCTGAGCATCTCCTGGACCGTCCAGCCCCGGCAGCAGAGCCGTGTTTGGAAGTATGAGGTCACCTACAGCAAGAAGGTTCGCTGTCCATCTGCTCTGCATGCTAGCCATGTCCGCTGTCTCTACCCAGCTGCTCCAATACCTGAGAATACAGGAGGGTGGGGCGGTGCTGGCTAGGTCTTGAGTTCTTCCTGTTCTCGCCTAAGCCCCTTGTTTATTTGGGGCCTGGGCTTAGAGAACAGGGAGGGAAAACAGTGGGGCTCATGGAGCCAGCTGGAAGGGGGGGGGGGGGGGGCTGGCTCAAATGCACAAGTCACATTATGAGTGAAGTTGTTGGAGTGCTCCAAGGAAGACTCACAGGGTGTGTCTAGACCGCATGTCTCTGTCGATGGAGCCATGTCATCTAGACACACCCACAGGGACATCAGGTGGCTGGGGTGGTAGGTTGGAGGTGAAGCCAGATTGTCCTCACTGGCTTGGCCTCAGCCTCTGATCCTTGAGCCAGGTGATCCTGTCACTGGTTTGCCCCCTCTCCTGTCTCCAGTTGCCAGCAGGGCCCCGTCTGCATACGCTGGGCTCTGGGGCGTTGGCTGGTCCTGCGGGGCTGCTCACCTTTGTGCTGGGGGATGTGTGCTTGCTTTCCAAAGATGGATGAGAACAGCTATTCGGTCCTGCGCTGTGAAGGGAACTCGGTCACCCTCCCCAAGCTCACACCGGGCACCAAGTACTTGGTGCGGGTCCAGGCCCTGACACAAGAAGGCCAGGGGGCCTACAGCATGGACTATGAATTTGAGACACGTGCTGAGGGTAAGTATGTGAGAGAGGGGCAGAGCCCCCTCTTATTCCCTCCATTTCCCAGCCGGGCACCAGGAGGGGAAGTGACTTGGCCCCGGCCACACAGCAAGTCAGTGGCAAAGTCTGTGGAACTAGAACTCAGATCTTTTGTTGCTGAATCCCCAGCTCTGATCTCTTGCCACAGTGCTCCCAGCCTTGCCTCTCCTTGTGCCCCCTGTTCAAAACTTCCTGGCCCTCAGGGCTGGCCAGAGCTCAGAATGGAGGGAACTGAGTGCGACAGGAACTGCGCACTCATTCTGCCCGGCCATGGCCCTTGGCGAAGCCTGGGCAGAGTCCGGCCATGCTGGAAGTGTGTGGCGAGTTTCCCTGTGGTTTCCTTCACAGTGTTTCCTTCCTCCTTCAGGCTCCGATGGTATGAACACGGCAGCAGCAGTCGGGGGCTCTGTCACTGGGATCCTTTTGATCCTGGGCTTGGTAGCTGTGGGCCTCTACCTTCACCGAAGGTATTTGCTTTCCCTCCCCCTCCTTTGCCATTAGGGCATCCATAGCCCAGCAGCGGCTGCCTGTCGATTCCCCATGGGACCTCCCTTCCTCGCAGCCAGTGTACCCCGGGGTGAGGGCAGCATTGCAGGCAGCTAACATCTGTCTGCTGCCAACCCAGACCTCTGTTACGATGTGATTCTTCCCACTGCTGACCTGGCCCCAGCTGCTGAGAGAAATGGGCAGGGTTGGATCCAGCTTAAGCTGTGTGAGAGCAACCGAAATGAGCCTATTTCTCTGCTTGAGAGACTGGCCAGAGATCCTGGCAGGAGAGCCAGGATGTGCAACTGACCAGAGACAGAAGTGAAACCGATGAGTCTGTTCCCATTGGGCCCTCAGGTACTTACCCCAGCCAGAGTGTCACTGGGAGATTTACCTGAGGAAGGATGGAGTGCAGGACCCCCCAGGAGCTGGTCCTCCCTACTAGGTGGCAGGGCAGGTGGCTCTGTATGTGTATGGGAAGGGGTGAACTTGTTCCTTCATGGAGGCTTCTGGTCATGTGATTCGGGAAGCAGTGGGGAGCCTCTGCAGGCTTCTAATTCTCCCTCTCGATGTAGGAGGAGGCGCTCTCGGGCCCGCCAGTCATCTGAGGATGTTTACTTCTCTAAGTCTGGTGAGTGAAAGAGTCCAGCAGGGGCGGCGTTGGACTCTGCTCTCTGGGACTCGCGTGGCTGGTGTCCCTCGGAGACGGGTGCAGCAGATCCCAGCTGTGTGCTCAGCTGGGACGGAGGGGTGGAGACAGGCTATCTAGGGGCAGGGACAGCTCTTCCCCCCAGGAGGCTGTAAGTAGACCCAGGGGCAGATATAGGGCAGGGCGAGCGGGGCGGCCGCCCCGCGCATGCGCTGTGGCAAAGGGGGGCCCCGCGAAATTGGGCTGCCCTGGGCCCCACAAAATGATCATCTGCTCCTGAGTAGACCCAGCTCAGGGATATGCCCATGCAGCAGATGGGCAGAATCAGACGCTACAAGCCCAGTCCCTCTGTCGCAGGCCTGCTGGGGTCCCCGGCCCGCTGCTGAAGAAAGGGTCCAATCATGGCCTCCAGGGCCACCTCCAGGGTGAGGCCCCGGAACTCTGGGCCTGCCACAGATCCCAGTGAGTGAAGGGCCCCACAGCATGACCCATAAATGTACATGCAGGCTCAAGGGAGACTGTCCCCCTCTGCCAGCGCGACATCAGCAGCGTTCCTACCCACCCGCGGAGGGGAAACGGGTGCTGGGCTGAGGGCAGCGGGGCTTCAAACAGCCCTGAGCTGAAGTGTACTTTTGGGAAGATGAGATCCCGCTGGGATCCTGAGCCCCAGCCTCATGCCTGCTTCCATGTGTCACCTCCTGCCCTCCCCTGCCCCACAGAGCAGCTGAAGCCCCTGAAGACGTACGTGGACCCTCACACCTATGAAGACCCCAACCAGGCAGTGCTGAAATTTACAACCGAGATTCACCCCTCGTGCATCAGCCGGCAGAAGGTGATTGGTGCAGGTAGGTCGCTCCCTCTTCTCGCTGTGAGTGGCTGGTGGCCCTGGACCCCACCTTCCTCAAGCAGCCTATGGTGGGGGTAGGTAGGACTTGCCTTCCTTAAGTAGCCTGGGGCTGGGTTGCAGCCTCTTAGTAGGAGGGACTTGGCCTTGTGTTGCAGCCTATAGGTGGACGGATTTCCCTCCATAGAAGAGGCAGATGGGCATTTCCTTTGCATCAGCCAGTGGTGGATGTGCCCCAAGGGGTCACTGAGGCATGGGAAGAAGGACGTCCCAGTGGCAATCAAGACTTTGAAGGTTGGCTACACGGAGAAGCAGCGCATCGACTTCCTGAGCGAGGCCAGTATCATGGGCCAGTTCTGCCACCACAACATCATCCGGCTGGAGGGCGTCGTCTCCAAGTGTAAGCGCTGCACCCCCCCAGTAACTCCTTCTCAGCCAGGGGGTCACTGAGGCATGGGAAGAAGGACGTCCCAGTGGCAATCAAGACTTTGAAGGTTGGCTACACGGAGAAGCAGCGCATCGACTTCCTGAGCGAGGCCAGTATCATGGGCCAGTTCTGCCACCACAACATCATCCGGCTGGAGGGCGTCGTCTCCAAGTGTAAGCGCTGCACCCCCCCAGTAACTCCTTCTCAGCCAGGGGACCCTGCGGGACAGCCCAGGGCTTTTCCTGCCAAGAGCAATGACGTGGCTGGACAAACGGCCAGGCTGTGCTGGGGCAACTCCGGGAAAGTTGCAGCTCTTAAACTCAGCTGGAAATATCCCATCAGCCCTCGCTGCAGACTCTGCCCAGGATTAGACTTGCTGAAAGGTGCCCAGATCGTCGGGCTGCACCCAAACGGCTTCTTGAAGCTGAATGTAGCAGCTTGGCAGGGACTGGCAATCAAGCCAGGCTGCAAGAGGCTCTCTCCCAAGCATGTTCCCTGACAAGTGCCCATCAGTGCAGATGATGCCCCCAGTCAGTGGAACTTTGAAAAATCCGGAGAATTGCCTTCTCGGCCTGTTCTGAGAGGCGGTGGCCCAGGCCCCTTTCCTGTGCTGTGCGCGTATGCCCGAGGGTGCTGATGTCTGGGCAAGGAAGCTCTCCCGGGACTTCCTATGATTCCGGTTCTCTTTTCAGACAAACCTTTCATGATCATCACTGAGTACATGGAGAATGGAGCCCTGGACAAGTTCCTGCGGGTAGGTGTGCTTCCTTGCTTGTGAGCCGAGAGCTAGGGATGTCGATGAACTGATGAGCAACAGCTTCTAGACTAATGCTATAGACTACATGCATCCCCCTCTCCCCAAAGTAAAACTTTAGCAGGCTGGCCAGCACCCCAGCTCAGTTCTGACTCGCGCTGGTTCTGGGAGCTCAGCCCCACCCCCGTGGACGGGCTGCTACTAACCCACGCTACTGCCTCTGTATCAGAGGCAACAGCGGGGGGCGACAGGCAGCCGGTCCAAGAGGGAAGCTGGGCTTTAAACTGGCTCTTCTCATGGACCAGCTCCCTCCTGCCGCCACATGCTGCTGCCTCTGATACAGAGGCAGCAACGCAGGGTGACGGGGGGCTCATCGGGAGTGGGACTGGAGCGCACTGGCTGCTGGCCCCACCCCCAGGGACTATTGAATAGTCGAGTAACTGATAAGAATTCATGAGGCTAATCGACTATTCAATTAACCGATATTTAACATCCGTACCGAGAGCAGGATTCAGTCCTAGCCAGACCCATCTGCTTGAAAGGGACAATGTCAAGAACTGCAGGCCACACCTCAGATCTAGGTTGTGTCCAATAATAAGGAAAGGAATGACTGAGCTTTTTCAAGTCTCAGAGTGGTGGCTGTGTTAGTCTATAACATTAAAAACATTGAGTAGTCCTGTGGTTCCTTAGGGTATGTCTAGACTACATGGCTCAGTCGACGGAGCCATGTAGATGAGATTTCTAGACATAGAGAAATGAAGCTGCGATTTAAATAATCGCCGCTTCATTTACATCAAAATGGCTGCCGCGCTGTGCCGATAGCTGTTTGGCAGCACCGCGCGGTAGTCTGGACACTCCGCGGTCAACAAGACAAGCCCTTGTCGACCACCCCAGTAAACCTCATCCCTGTTATGCCTCGTGGACAGTTGACGAAGCCATGTAGTCTAGATATACCCCTTGAGACTAACAAAAAAAATATATAAAATCTCATGGGCAAAACCCACTTCCTCAGAAGAACTGTACTATGTGTATATTTTGTTAGTCTCTAAGGTGCCACAGGACTACTCATTGTTTTTCAAGTAGAATAGTGATAGAAATGTAGCCATGTTAGTCTGGTGTAGCTGAAGCAAAATGCAGGACAATGTAGCACTTTAAAGACTAACCATCTTGTTAGTCTTTAAAGTGCTACATAGTCCTGCATTTTGTTTTTCAAGCTCTTTCAGTTCTGCTGTGGTTGTAAACTTGTGTAGGGATGAGAGTTTATGAAACTTTGCCCTCACCCTTTGCATCCCTGGCATCTCCACCCTGGACTAATGCATCCCAGCTGGGAAGTGAATCCGACAATTCTGACCAACCTAAATCCACATCTGGAGCTGGGCAAAATGCAAAATAACGGAGCAGCACCAGTGAGGCAAAGTCCATGGGGGTGTCAGAATGCTCCTGATCTGAATCATGGGAGTTGGAATCCAAGGAAGGGAATTGGCTGTTTAAGAGACAGATTTATTTTTTTTTTTTTTACCACAACTTAATAAGAAAAAGAGCCGGACTGTCTAACCCAGTGTCCTTCAATATTGTTTGCCCAGCAACCCACAACCCAGCATATCCCACAATCCTTTGCAGGTGCAATGAGAGGACAGTCAAGCCTAGACTTGCATGCAATGTCCTGTATGGGAGTCAAGCCCGTAATTCCTAGGCTCTGCCTGGGCTTGAAAGATCTCCCAGCCCTCGATTTGTGCCAGTGGCCGTGGCCTTGACGCCCTCTCCCTGCCCCATTGCTTTGGTGTGTGGATGGACAGCCACTCTCTAACCCAGCGGTGGCTGCATTCCAGGTGCATGGCATGGTCTGGGCTCCTTGAGCCCTGTAAATGGGCGATGGTAACAGGAGCACCGAGCGTGCAGGGAGGTCGCAAGGACCACGCACTTACCATCCTGTGCACATCTCTTCTCACCACACAGGAGAAGGACGGTGAGTTCTGTGTGATCCAGCTGGCGGGCATGCTGCGGGGCATCGCGGCGGGAATGAAGTACCTGGCCGACATGAACTACGTGCACCGGGACCTGGCCGCCCGCAACATCCTCGTCAACAGCCAGTTGGTCTGCAAGGTGTCCGACTTCGGCCTGTCCCGTGTGCTGGAGGACGACCCCGAGGCCACGTACACTACCAGTGTAAGCACTGCTGGGCTGGCCTGCCCTGCTCCCCCAGGGTGTCTTCTGTGGTGGGGAGACTGCATCCCCCTGCTACTTAAAGGCCCCACCCTCTCTGTCAAGGCCTCTCCATCCCAATTTGTGGCCCTTCTTGCTAGGCCAAGCTTTGGCCCCACCCAGGCAGCTCCCCAGACCAGAGCTCTCCCATCCATAAGAGGCTTCAGGGCAGACGCCCTAGCCCCATGCTTGAGGGGGCCCCATGGGGCTCAGGGTGGCCTGGGGAACTACCAGCAGCAGCAGGTTCTGGGCCTGTCCCCAAACCCACCAGCTGTGGGGGCCATGGACAACAGAGTGACCCAGCCCTGGCCACCTGCTTGCTTCACCGTGGTGGTGAAAAACCAAGCGCCCCAGCCCCAGCCGCTCTGCTGCGGCAAGCGACATGGATGGGAGCCACGCTCGGGAGTGTAGCAGGCTGAAGCCAGGTCACGCTGCTTCCCACCACCGTGGTGAGTGCAGGGCGGGGGGCACTCTGGCTGTTAGCACCAGGGCCCCCAATAGCCCCCTGGGCTGGGGGTACAATGAGATCAGAGCAGGGACAGGAAGAGGCAGGGCCGGGGAGGAGGGAGGTTTATTGGTTCCAGTTAACTGGTAGGAGCTGGAGCAGTCCATGGCGGACCCGACCCAGCCCCACCACTGGCTGGCCAGAGAACGCCTGGCCCTGACCCCTGCCAGCCAGCTGGAGCAGCCTTCTCCATGCTGCACAGCCAGCAAGGCCAACTGCGTGATTCTTGCAGGGTGGCAAGATCCCCATCCGCTGGACGGCCCCAGAAGCCATCTCCTACCGGAAGTTCACCTCGGCCAGCGATGTGTGGAGCTACGGCATCGTCATGTGGGAAGTGATGTCCTATGGCGAGCGGCCCTACTGGGAGCTCTCCAATCACGAGGTGAGCGCTGCTGGCCGGGCACGGGGTGTGGGGCCCAGCTGGCCTGACGGCAGCCTGCCGAGCTCCCCGGGAATGGCAGCTGTGCCCATGCACACTGCCTGAGTGCTGATAGGGCAACGGGCTGGGTGCTGAAGGGACCTGGTGGGAGGTTAAAAAGCCTGCGTATCTCTGCAGCCAGCCATCAGCCTTTCTGAGGGGCCTGGACATGGCTGGAGGCACAGGGAGGGGCCCAGGACAGGACTCCAGCCCGGCATGGTGTGAAACGCTGTCCTGACCGATGGCCCTTTGAGGCCCATGTGAAAGTCACCGGGGGCCCAGAGTTCGAGGGACAGGGGTCTCCAGGACAGAGCCCACCTCCGTGGCCTGCAGTCAGTTGGGCTGTGAGCACGAAGCTCCTTGTTTGGCCGGGGACGCTTGCGCTGTTGTGAGCCTGGTACGCTGTAGTACCGCCACCTTGGGCATCAGGAATGGGTGCAATGAACATGGCCTTCCTGGGAGCCCTCCCGGTGGCAGGGTGAGACCCCCTTATGGAGCAGAGCTCTGGCTGTACCATCACAGCCAGGGTGACGAGTCCAGGCCCAGCCCTGATGTGGTCGGACCAAGCTGGCCTTTCCCAAAGCAGGAGACAAGGAGATCTCCCACTTCACTGGGGACTTTATGGGTGAGCCAAGCGTGGGCTCCAGGCAGCGGCTGTGCGTGGGAGCGGTGCCTCTGATCTGCCGGCCATGTCCCTCACTTCTCTGCCCCTTCCCTTGGCAGGTCATGAAAGCTATTAACGAAGGCTTCCGGCTGCCTGCTCCCATGGAGTGCCCCTCTGCCATCTACCAGCTGATGATGCAATGCTGGCAGCAGGAGAGAAGCCGCCGGCCCAAGTTCAACGACATCGTTAGCATCCTCGACAAGCTCATCCGGGCCCCCGAGTCACTGAAGACGCTGGCTGACTTCGACCCCCGGTAGGCAGCTGGCTGCCAGAGCCCCCCACAGGGCCTGGGCTGGCTCCGCCCCCTGGCAGGCAGCTGGCTGCCAGAGCCCCCCACAGGGCCTGGGCCTGGTTCAGCCAGGGATTCCTCTGGTCACAAACCAGGGCCGCAGATGCAGCCAGCCTGATCGCAGGGGCTCGAGCAGGGCTGGGTCCCAGAGGAGGCAGAGCAGCTACCAAGCCCCGCTGGCTAAAGGAGATGGTGTCTCCACACAGCCCTGACCAGAAGGGGTGACCCCGCAGCCAGAGCTGGGCTCAGGGTGCCAGTGTCCCAGGGCACTTGTTTGCCTGGCAAAAAGCTGTTGCAGGGGGAACCTGAGCTCCTGGGGGCTGGGGATGTGCCGGTGGGGTGACTGGGCTGGGCTGTGCCAGGGGCAGGACTCCAATCAAGCACAGGGCATGCAGGGCTGTACTCATCCCTGGAGTCAATGGGGCCAGAGACCCCGTAACGGTCCCCTGTAACCGAGCTCTTGTGATGCTTGGTCCTAAGCTGGCTCTGTAGGCCTGGACCACCTGGCGGTCTCCCAAGCAGATGGGCACAGTGAGTCTCCCCCAGGTAACAATGAGGGATAGTGCAAAAGCATTTAGGGGGGCAATTAACCCTCCCAACTGCCATGCCCCAGGGAGCAGGGGTTGTTAGCCACAGCTCCCGCAGACAGACAGGGAAACTGAGGCACCGCTCGAGCTCTTTATCCAAGGTCTCCCAGCAAGCTGGTAGATTAGAAAGTCAGGGATCCTGTCTCCTGGCCCTGTGTTCAGCTGATTAGGGCATGCCGTCCACTCTCCAGTCCTGACTCGTATGTCTAGCTCAGCGCCCCTCCCGTGGAGGTGAAAGGGAGAGAGATGGAAACATGTCTCCCTAGTGGAGGGGAGGTGTGGGTCTCCCTGCACAGGGTATGTGCTGGGAGAGGAGTGTGCTTGAGCTCAGCCCATCTCCTTGCAGCTGTTACCCATGTGGCTCATAGAGGAGGAAGTGGCTTCTGGCATTCCCCCTTGGTTGAACTGTCCTGGGGGATCTGAGACGCTAACATCTGGGGCTTTGTGTCCTGGCAGGGTGTCTATCCGCCTGCCCAGCACCAGCGGCTCAGAGGGCCTCCCCTTCAGGACTGTGTCCGAGTGGCTGGAGTCCATCAAGATGAACCAGTACACGGAGAACTTCCTGTCGTGCGGCTACAACGCCATTGAGAAGGTGGTGCAGATGAGCAACGAGTAAGTCCTGCGCTCCCATCTCCCCGCTGCCTTTGCCTCCCGTCTGCCCGCTCACTGGCAGGCCTTGCCTCAGCGTTTCCAGGGCAGGGCTGTGGGCTGATCCCCACAGGCCAGTGCTCCCTGGCTCCCCACATGTACCCCTTCCCAGAGTGCCTGCTTAATGGCATTCCCACACAGGTCAGACAAGAGGGCACCTCCTGCGAGCTGGATTGTCTCTGCCTGCGCCACTCGGAAAGGAGCCAAATCCCCCCCTGATCTTTGCTAAGGACTGGCTGCTGAGGGCCAGTCACACCAATGCCCGGAGCCTAGGAGGGGGTGGGAGCTCTAATGCAGGGCCACACTGGCCACAGGAGTCCCCCAGGGCAGGGCTGTGGGCTGATCCCCACAGGCCAGTGCTCCCTGGCTCCCCACATGTACCCCTTCCCAGAGTGCCTGCTTAATGGCATTCCCACACAGGTCAGACAAGAGGGCACCTCCTGCGAGCTGGATTGTCTCTGCCTGCGCCACTCGGAAAGGAGCCAAATCCCCCCCTGATCTTTGCTAAGGACTGGCTGCTGAGGGCCAGTCACACCAATGCCCGGAGCCTAGGAGGGGGTGGGAGCTCTAATGCAGGGCCACACTGGCCACCGGAGTCCCCCCTTGGACTGGGTACCTAGGGCCACCAGGCCGAGGCCCTCTGAGCTGTTCGTCCGATCTCTGGAGCGAAGCTGTCCCTTCCCCCGCCAGTGTCATTCCCCCACTTGGCACCATCTGGCATCCCTCGCTCCCACAGGATGCTGTCAGCTGGGCCTGCTCAGAGGCCAATTGCCCCCAGGGACTTTGTCTTTTTCCAGTGCTCCCAGCTCTGACTGGCCCTGGAAGAAGGATCCGAGCCCAAAGCTTCCGTGTGGCATTGCACTGTGCTAATTACTGCCCCTCCCCTGTCTGCATGGCCGCTGTCCCTACTGGTCCAGGTGCGGGCGCTAGGCGCCAGGGCACGGCAGGGAACGGGAGACCCTTCGGGGGTTCTCTTTCTTAGGAGTTGGTGGTTTCAGCTCAGTTTTGCCCCCTACCTTCCCTGCTCCCCATAGCCTGGCCTGAATTCCCACAGCCCAAGGGCTGGGTTCCAGCAGAGCCACGGGAAGCTATGCCTTTCTCTGTGCTAGGACCCTGCTCAGAGTCACCCCGAAGGGAGCAGCCCTGTGCCTGCCTTCAAATCCTCATTCCCAGGAAATAGCAAGCCCCCAAGCTGCCTGGGTTAAATATAGCCTGTGTAAACAGCAGGGCTGGCCGGCCACTGGACAGGCTGGGAACCCAGGGGAGCACCCAGGGAGAGCTACAGAACATCATGTTCCCTATGCAAAGCTGGCTCAGTCCAGCCTGAGAGCATCCTCTTCTGCTACCCAGCCTGGGCAGTCTTTGCCAGGCATCCGGCTGCCGAGGGCCTCATCCTAGCACCTAGAGCCTGGGAGGGGGTGAGAGCCCCCAGAGTCCCTCTTTGGCCTGGGTACGTAGAGCCCAGGCTGAGGCTTGTCTAATCTCCAGGGCTGCCTGCTCTAAATGCAGAGGAGGCAGTGTGGTCGAGTGGCTAGCGCACTGGTGTGGCACACAAGACCTAGGCTCTAGTCCCAGTTCTGCCAGTAGCCTGCTGGACAAGCCAGTTCAGGACAAGAGCTGACCCTGATGCCGGAATCCTGCTGGGGCCTCTCTGTGTTCTTAGGCTGCCAACCATGCTGGGAGGACTCGGCCCATCCTCAGGACCTGGCTGACTGTTGGGTTGTCCTTCAGTGTCTCCAGGGAGGCAGCATTGCCTAGTGGCTAGAGCACAGGGCAAGAGTTAGGGGGATTGGATATGCCAGGAGGCACCGCCATGCCTGTGCTGGGTTCCCCAGCGAGGGCTCAGTGCCCTCTGGGGAGGGTCTCCAAACATGCTGTGGAGCAGAACAAGACGCATTTCCTTTGTTACGTAACCTGGGGAGCTGTGTGGAGCTGCCTGTTTTCTCCACTGGCCCTGGCCTAGCCCACAATGATGTCTCAAGAGGTCCTGTCAGAGCACGCACCCTGCAATTAATTGGCATTACGGGATGGGGAAACAAGGGAGAGGCTCATTAACAGAGAGGCTGCTCTGCCCTCCCTGTGCTGTTCACGCGCTGGGGCTGCCAAAAGGAAGCAGTGTCATGAGAGGGCACGAGAGAGATTCTTTCAGCTGGGAACACGGAGCTTCTCCCGGAACCTGCTGGGGTCTGGGGATCTGCCCCTTGACTTCAGGTTGGGGCATCGGCCACTGGCTCCAGGGAAGGATTCAGGCTGGGTTGGGGGGAAGTAGCCAAGAGGATGGGGAAGAAGAGCAGGGGGAGGTCATGTGGAGACAGTAGAGAGGCCGTTCCTCAGTGGTAATCACAAGGGGCGGGGTTGTCTCCTTGGTCCTGAGGCCAACTCAGCACCATCTGTTGTGTAGTTTAGGGCAGCCTCAAGGCTGCTCTCAGCTTTGCCCGCTGCCTGTGACCTTGCGAGGCTGCTACACCAGACTGGGAGGCACTCCAGCCACGCCCCCTTTTCCCTGGCCACGCCTCTGTTCCCTGGCCATGCCCCACACATGGGCTGCCAGGTCAGCTTTCATGGCTGCTTGGTAAATGAGCCCTCCCCTTTCCCTCTTTTCCCCCCCCCCCTCCGAGAATACCAGTTGATCACCTTGTGGAGATCAGTTCAAACCAGCTTGTACTGGAAGGCCTTGACGTTACGCCTGCTTCTGGCATCCGCACGTGGTGGTAGCGCCTGGGCCCTTCTGGCCTGCTGACATTGCCCTTTGCCTTTTTGCTTCCCAGCGACATTAAGAGAATCGGGGTGCGCTTGCCGGGTCACCAGAAACGCATCGCCTACAGCCTGCTGGGGCTGAAGGAGCAGGTGAGCACCGTTGGCATCCCCATCTGAGCTGGCGCTGGCCTGGAGCCGACCTCGCCCCCTGCGGGGAGACGGAATCGCGGCAGGAGAGAGAGGGACACTCGGTGGCCGTGCAAACCGGGAGATACTTGAAGTGGAGAATTGAAGTGCGCTTGGCATTGCCCCCTTGCCGTGAGCCGCTGAGGACACTGGCCAGCAGCCCCGGGCAGACTGAATGGCAGTGCCCAGAGCGGAGTCGGCCAGTCGCTCCTGCCACCCTGCACCCACCATTACACCTCCAGGGCATGCGCTGTATTTATTGCTGCGATTATTATGATTATTCTTGCATGCCTGGAAACTGCAGCTGCTGCTGTGCAGTGTTAACTGACTCCAGGAAGAGGTGCTAGACCACAGCCCCTTTTGGGGAAACCCCTGGTTCTCTTTGGCCAGGGCACCAGCCGCCACCCTTGGAAAGTGCCCCCCAGCGCTCCAGCTGCGCAGCCTCACACCTGGCAGGTTCCTAGCTGGGCCGAGCAAATGCCTTCCTCCACCTGCTGCCTGGCCAAAGCACAGGGAACTCTGTGTGCTAGTTCATTCCCTCCTCCGCTGACCCTCTCCTGACTGACAGGAGTGTGTGGATTTTCCTGAATGGCCTCCGTTCCTTTCCAAGCCCCCTTCGAGGCAGAGGCTGGGCTGAGACTTTGCTGTGACAAAGCGACATTGATTCTTCCTTTGCTCTTTATAAGAGGATGAAGATTTATGGTAAATAAAATGACGCCATTTAAGCTTCTAAACAACCGAGCTTCCAGCTGTGGGGCAGAGACGCTGCTCCAGGACGGGTGTTCGCTTTTTAACCAACTGGCTGAATCAGGGACCTTTCTCTAAGTTGTTTTTGCTTCGATTGGTGCCGCGAGAAACGGGCAGATGCCAGTGCCTGAAATGTGACATTCCCCTGGTAGCGAGTGAAGTGGCTTTGCAGATAATGGTTGAGAGCTGTGCCTCAAGGTCATGGAATCGTTTTCCTCCTCTATTTATTCTTCCACTCCACTCCCCACCCTCTGCTCCTTTGCGTCTCACAAGACGCCCTTTGCTAGTCTGTCAGTGTTGAACTTTTTTTAATGTAATTTATTATATTTTTTTATATTTATTGATGGAAATCAAAGGCCTTTTGTGTTTTCTCAAAATTGCTGTTCAGATTAAAACCGCGGCCCGTCCAACGGAATTAAGTTTACTCGTGGTTTCCAGGAAAATTTGTTCTGTGATTTAAATAAAATGTGTGGGTTTTTTTTTTTTAAACAACTTTCCACTGAGCCTGCACTCTTGCGTGGAGCAGGGGACAAGCGGGTATACTTTCTTGGTTGCATACCATTAGGAGAATTGATTAAGCCATACATAATGACCCATTGCTTGGGGCATCAGCTGGGACTGACCATGTAGTTCTAGTTTCACTGTGCCTTCAGTGGGACTTTTGTATTTGCTGATGTCAAGCCCGTGAGCTGAGGGAGCTTTCCAAACAGTAGCTCTGATCCAGAAGCAGGGAATAGGTAGACGGAGAGAAACTGGGCTCAGGAGAACTATGGGGAGGCACTGGAAGACACGAGATGTTCAAATGGAGCTAGCCTGTGTCCACATTAGAGCGGAGGAGTTGTACTCATTCCGATTTTGCTCTACGTGCCACTGTGGCAGGCCACTTTCAATTAACAGCAGCATCACACTTGGGCCACCAGGTCTGACTCTGGTGACGCTGCCAGGCAGACAACCTGCCCTGCCCTTGGTAAATCTCTCCCGGGGTTCTTTGGGCATTAGAACCCAAGGCAGCAGCAGCAGGCGGGAGACACGGCTGTCCTCTCTGGAAAGAAGAATGGGGGGTACACGCCACAGGCTTTGGGCCTGTTGACACCCAAAAGCTATATCACTTGAAGTGAATATAATGTAATGGACGTAAGGATTGGATCCCACAGGTGTGCAATGCATGCAGCAGGATGCTGCTAACCAGTGCAACTAGGCCTAGATGGGCAGGGGAATAAACCCTGCTGGGATAAAGCACTTTGGTAGTGGTTTACCTGCATCCACACTAGGCGTTGTACTGATGTAAGGGGCAGTAAGATCTCTCCCACTCCCGGCCACATGGCAGAATGTCTGCACTGTCCACAGGGGCTGATTGGCTTTATGGGGGGTAATTCTCAAAGCACATGGTTAGCCATGGAGCCCTCGCACGTGTGTGCGAAAGGTTCCTGAGCCTGCTGTAACATAGCACTGGGTTAAACTGCACTTCATTGCACAGTCCGGTTCATGCCCAATGCGTTCGCCTGCTTTGGAAAATCAGTCCTGTGGAGCACCTCTCCCCTCTGTGTAGACAAGCCCCTTGCAGTGTGGGAGTTGGTGAGCTCCCTGGCAGGCCAGTGCCAGCTCAGCCATGGCTCATTGCATAGGTAGGGGAGCTCCTAGGGCTCCACTCAGCCCAGGTGGGTGGTCAGACACCTCCTAGGTGTGACTCCCATGGGCGAGTCACTCTTCAGACCATACAAGAAGAGGCCTGGGCGGTGGCAGAGAAATCCTTGTGTTCCTCTCTCTCCTCCCTTCCCTGCCCAGGCTCTCCTCCCTTCCCTGCCCGGCCATGCAGATCTGTGCCCACAGCAGAGTTGCATCAGTGCTGATTTTGCAGAGCCAGGCACCAGCCCATTCCCCCTTGCATGTCCCACATGTTCCCAGAGGTGTCTGTAGGTTGCTGGCTGTGTGGGAACGGGTCTGTGCTTGCAGCTGCAAATTGGCTCTGCTAGCCGCCCAAGCCAGTTCTTAGGCCGTTAGTCGGGATTTTACAGAGGCAGGCAAAGGAGATTTATTTGCACAGCTGAGCCCGGCTTAGTCAGCAGCGTCCTCCTGAGATTGCAAAACTACCTCGAAAGAATTGTGCCTGAGCACTGTGTACAAATCGGTCCAGCCCCGCTCTGAATGCTCCTAAAGGAGCCCCGGGGGCTTTGCACATGAGGACTCGGCCAAAGCCTGTTCCCATGAGACTGGCTCCCAAATGACAGTTACAAGATAAAACTGGACAGGCAGGCTTAGTCAGCAGCGTCCTCCTGAGATTGCAAAACTACCTCGAAAGAATTGTGCCTGAGCACTGTGTACAAATCGGTCCAGCCCCGCTCTGAATGCTCCTAAAGGAGCCCCGGGGGCTTTGCACATGAGGACTCGGCCAAAGCCTGTTCCCATGAGACTGGCTCCCAAATGACAGTTACAAGATAAAACTGGACAGGCAGACAGAAGCACATGCAGCTTCCCAGCGTGAGACTTTGCAGAGTTCTGGCAGCAACACGTGGCAAGGACTGACTAAGATGGTGGTAGTTTCATGGGGTAAGTTTAATGGCAAGTTGAATGTCACAAAGGGACCAATCAATCAATCTGTGAGCTTCTGGGCCAATGAATAGGAAGCAGCCTTTCTCACGCAGCTGCACTACAGGCCGGCAGTTGAGTCCCAATTCGGGCCCTGAGCTTCGGTGCCTAACTCCCATTAAGTCCTTGGAGTTAGGCTCTAACTTCCATTAGGGCTGAAGCCCTCTGCCTCTGCCATGGGCAAGTCAGTGGCTCTGCATGGCTGCCTTCTGTCAAAGGGGCCACACTGTGGTTCTACCCTGAGCGGCTCCAGCTGCGCTAAGGCAAGCACCGTGTTGAGTCCCAATTCGGGCCCTGAGCTTCGGTGCCTAACTCCCATTAAGTCCTTGGAGTTAGGCTCTAACTTCCATTAGGGCTGAAGCCCTCTGCCTCTGCCATGGGCAAGTCAGTGGCTCTGCATGGCTGCCTTCTGTCAAAGGGGCCACACTGTGGTTCTACCCTGAGCGGCTCCAGCTGCGCTAAGGCAAGCACCGTGGTGCCAAGCGAGCAGAAATGTAACCTCTCTCAGCCTGCCAAGAGCTCTCAAGTTAGTGTCCCTTGGCTGGAGGAGCTGCATAGCTCCCAGAGCCTCGGCCTGGATTGTTAACCAGAAGCAATTCAATTAGGTTCGGATTCCACCTTTAAATTGAAGCCTGGTTCAGAGATGGCAACCAAGCAGTGTTGGCCTTGCTGAGCTGTTCCCTGTTGGTGTGTCGGGCCAAGAGCTCTGGCTCAGCCCTGAGCATCTTCCCTCCTCAGCCTGTCGTTCTTTTCAAACCCAAGCGTCTCATCTAATCGTGGGATAAACGATGGCTTCAAAATTCAATTATTGTGCTGAGCTCTGGTTTCCGGGTGGCTTGGCCTTTCTGCACGTGGGGAGGGAGGCAGCTAAACAGGGACCATTTTTGCCGCTTCAAAACCAAGAAAAATAAATCCATCATCTGTTGCATTCCTCCAAATAATGGCGAGGGAGGGGAGAAGTCCCTTGGCGAAAGCTGTTGATATGGAAAGAGGAACCAGCCAGGCTATGTCTACACTCACGGCTTCTTGCACAAGAATATCGCCGAGCCCCATTTGCATACCTAATGAGCCGCCTTTTTTGCGGAAGAGGCTCTTGCACCAGAGGGAGCTGTGTACACTGCCCCTTCTTGCACAAGGAAAACCCCTCTTGCACAATGCCTTTGTGTGTAGACAGCTCCAAAATGGCAGCTCATTAGGTATGCAAATGAGGCTTGGCTGTATTCCATGCTTAGCCTCATTTGCATATTTGTCGCACAAGAAGCTGTAAATGTAGCCGTAGCCTGGCTGTTTCACAGATCTGTGGGCGGTGAGATCAGAAGGGATCTTGGCCTCTGTTCCAAAAGACCCTCCCTCAGCGATTCCTGCACAGGCCCAGACCTGGGGACTGCACTAGAGCAGGTCACCTGGCGCTGATTTGCAGCCACCTCTTGAGGAGTTGCCATGGCCTATGGAAGGGAGTCGGCCTAGTGGTGAATTACACTCCCTAGAAATTTGCATTTAGGCCTAGTCTGGATTCTGCTCCCAGCCACTGGAGCTGGCTCTGTCTTTGTATGAGCCCTTGCCAGCCAAGACTCCTGGGATTTCAGAAGAGCCTTCCAACTAGGAAGTGCCATAAATCTTTCCCCGCCCCCCATCGCCCAGTGGGAACTCCCCACCATGCTACCTTCTCCAGCAGCCGGGTCCCTGTTGGCTGAGCTAGAGGAGAGTCTGGTGTCTGTTCACAGTACAAGGCTTAGGACACAGCAGCACAGCTCTGCTTCCAAGCAGCTGCATCCCTGCACAAGGGAAGGAACCTGCCAGTATCTTGCCAATGTCACAGTCGTGGGGCGTGGATCCTTACTGGGGGGCTGCAGTCTCTCCCTCCCCCCAACTTTGATACCTGCCTATGCAGAGTTGCTAAGTTGCAGCATGGGCACTGGTGTGGAATATGAGTTCGGCAAAGGAGCGGGCCCCTGGAGCAGGGAAGGGGGGTTTTGTTTACAGAGGCAGGGCGAGTAGGATATGAAAGGGCTAGTTATGGCCTGGAAAGTAGGAATCCCTCAGGAGGGGATGGAGGCGGTGCCAAGATCAGGGAACTCTGCTGAAGTAACAGCCGAGCCCTCTGAACCAGCGTCACAGTCGGAAAAGAGGAGATGTGAGGGCAGCGGTGAAAAGAAGGGGTTAAACCCAGGGAAGGCCAGCAGTGCAGAGAGACGTTCCCACTCTCCCTGGGGTGCTTATGTTTCCCATCCCCATAGTGTGTGAGCACCTCACACCTATTGCTTCTGGACAGGATGGTTGGGCTAGCGGAGAGTTACTGAGCACATGTGAATGTCTCTGAGGGTGTGTCTAGACTACAGGGTTTGTCGATAAAAGTGGGCTTTGGCAACAAAACTAAACCTGCGTCTACACTGCTGCTGAGTTCGGTCAACATAACGTTGACAGAACTCAGCAGTTTTGTTGTCGGCTGTAAACCTCATTCCACGAGGAATAACGCCTTTTGTAGACAGAGTTCTGTCGACAGAAGGGGTTATTGCATCTACACTGTCCTTTGCGTCTACACTCTCATGTCGACAAAGCGGCTTGCTCTGTCAACAGAACTAGATGTAGTCTAGATGCTATTTGTCAACAGAAGCTTTGTCGACAAAAACTTGTGTTGACAAAAGCCTGTAGTCTTGATGTACCCTGAGTGAAGGTGCTTCACAAGAGAAGTTTTATTTGATTAAGGGCTAGAAGATCTGACCTTCCATCATTCTCTCAAGACAAAGAGATGCCCAGAGCTCCTGGACCTGCGAATTTTCCTCTCCTGCCTGCCTTGGCCCTGAGATACTTTCGAAGTGTCTTTTTTCCCCCTCAATTTTAAGATATGGAATTCATAGAATCATAGAACCATAGAACTGGAAGAGACCTCAGACGGTCATCAAGT